TGAGAAATTTTCAGCACTTCCTCAAACAAGTAAAACATTATTCAAGAAAGTAGTCAGAATGCAAATAATATAAAGAACACAATCATCTGATTAAATGAAACTGAAAAGAAAGAACATTCTCTGTAATTATAGACAAGAATTCTGCAAAGGTGTTTGTTAAATACATCATGTTGAAAGTTAACATTTTAATCAGCTAAACTCTGATTATGAAGTGATGTGGTAAATGTGAAGAATTTTCAAAATAATAACCAAGAATGGTGAACTGGCAACAGTTAAAATACAGATACATTGGTCACAGAGTAAATCATTAGGTTGAAGCAAAAAAAAAAAAAAAATATTCCATCAATATTAGAATATATACTGATAAAATTAAAATAAAACTACACTAAACAAAAGAGGATGACATTAACATAATTAGTAAAACGGGTCCAATAATACAACAAAACCTTCTTGTATATCTACATCTGCTATACAACTAATAGCAAACACTTGTATTTATCTAGTTCATTTAATTCATTGAGCTCTGTTGTTATAGTCAAACAAATTTTCATTACTACCCAAATTACTTTTTTCTTTTTTTTTAATATGCAGCAGTCACCCATGCTTCATAAATCAAGTAGCATTTCAACTGAGTCTTTTCTATTTGCTCAGGAATTCTTCCCAAAAAGTAAAATTTGTAAGGGGATTACTGCTCTTATGAATATTCATATTTGATAATCTTTTGTACTTTTCTTTGAGATTGAAATTAACTTAGCCATACTGAAACAATAAGGATTCATTTTTGTAAAGAATAATTCTTTACAAAAGCTATTTCAATGAAAAGAAAAGAAGTTATTTATTGAAAAATCCATCAAACTATCAAGCTGAACAACAAAAAAAAAAAAAAAAAAAAAAATCTTTTAATGCTGAAAAAGAATTGAATATATTACTTGTCAGCAAACACATTGCCAATCAAAGAAGGAATGAAAGTCATATGACTTGCCATGGTTCAAGAGTCAGAAGACATTCATATTATTAAGGTAATCTACAAATAAACTGACCACTGTGAGCACAGGACAGTTAAAGATATTTCTAAAGTTTCATTAACGTATAGCAGCTTTCTGTATTATCAATAAATTAATACCATGGATTTTACAAGTATCAAACTGAATATTTAAAGGAAAGACATTCTTCATAATAAAAGTTTGGTCACAAGTATATTATAATCTTGTAATAAAAGAGACTTGATGATATGCAGGTCAGTGGTGTATTATTAAGCTACATCTGTATATCATCTGGTAAGAAGGTTTAAAAGTCTTCATGTAGAAATATTCTACCTACTCTTGATTATAAAAATGAAGATATGCTAATTCAAAATAAGAATGAAAACAGTGTCATATGTTATCAAAGAGAAAAGGTAACATTTTAAAAAATTGATTTTGGAAAGTCATGTTTTTATTTATTGTACATTGTGATAATTTTCTCAAGGTTTTCAAACATGCATTAAGTTAGAAAGCAAATATTACAGAAAATGGAGGAACTCAAATATTTGAAATTGCAATAATAAATGAACATAAAATACTCTAATTATCAAGTCATTAAAGCTGGATTACTGATTAGCTGTACAAATATTAACAGCTACACAAAATGCTTGAGCAGAAACTTGATAAAGACTTATTTTGAGGAATATAAAAAAGCAATGGTTAAGATTTTATATTGTAAAATATGCATTTTTTTTTTTACATCAATTGTCAGATTTTAATAATTTTTTGTAAATTAAAGTAGAATCATTAAAGTAAATGTAGAAAAAAGTATTTTCTCTTATAAAAGTTACTTTTTTATATATACTTTATTTCAGTTTAGTGTCTATCTCTAAAAAACGTAATGCTTATTTTATAATGCAATAGGAATTTTATAATTCTAGAATAGGAAAATATTTGATATTTTCCTTGCTACATGAAGAAATATAAATGCTTCAGTGCTTAGTAAAATGATAGGCTTATAACTAAGATACAATTTCAGTTTTTCACATTTTTGGGGCTTTACATGTAAATGCAAGATGTAACATTAACATTATGCCAAAAAGTGAATTATATTTTTATTATACATAATTTATTTAATAACTTGAATTATTACAAAAAAAAAATCTTAATTCTAAAAATAAATTATCAAATGTTCTATCAAGTTATTTTTGATCCTTAATACAAATATTTTGCTGATATTTCCAATAGCACATTTAGATTTCCAATCCTATGTATTAAAGTGCTTAAAATGATTGGCCTCACTATCCAAAATCTGACCAAATGTCACAATCCTAGTCAGGCTGAGAACTTTTCAGCACCCCTTCTATTTGAGGTTAGCTACCAACGGCCAGACTTCAAAGGAATATTGTTGAGCTCTTCAACTAAGCAAAATAGAAACATTTCTTTCTTCTCCTTACATTGTTTACTATCTTAGTAGTAAATCCCTTTTTAAGCATTGTCCTAAGAGTTTATTATGATAAAAGTCTTCTAATTGATTTATTTGTAAAATCAATAAATAAAATAATCAACTTGCCATAGTTATTAATGTAATGTTCCTGCCCTTACCAGATGCTTATACTTAATGAGAAAAAATTATAAATCATTCTTAAAATTTACATAACTCCATATATAATTAATGTAACACATTGCCTTTTTTTCTTAACTAGTCACCCCCTGGTGTCACAAAAGCTAAAATTTGTTTTAGTCTCAACTCTTAAATTATTATACATTTTCTTAGATAAGGATTCATTTTTGGCTGATTACAGAGGTATACAATTAGATATATAATAACTTGACATTAGTTATTCACAGAAATAATGAAAGAAATTTGTAAATGACACCCTTTGTTTTGTCTTTGGGGAAATATCTGCATAAAATCATTCAAAACCTGTCAAATAATTTGCATTAAAATGGTCTTAAGTTACCAGTGAGTATAAGAAACCAAGCAAACAGTAATGAATAGTTTAGGTGCTATTTTTAAATTTTGACCAGTAATTGACATTATTTCTTCCATAGACCACTGGTAAATGAAACTGCATTACATAGTGGCATGTTTAAGAAAAGAATATAGCAAATTGAAAGTTAAGGAATTTTAAATATTCGTATCAGACATGGTCTCATGAAAATGACAGGATAGTGAATATTCTGGTTTTTCATAATAAATGATATTGTATGCTATTACTCCAATAAAAAGCATGAGCCTATATATATATATGTGTGTGTGATAAACAACTTTTGTATTAAACTGAAGAGTGTTTTACATTTTTATCAAGAAGCCATTGAAAGTAAAATACAGCTTTAAAAATATAAAAACTAGATTCAACATAAATTCATTGTTTAGCTTATGAAAATTGTTTAATTCTATTAAATATCACATGGTATGAATACAAATATTGCAAAAGAGAAATTACTTGAATATGAATACAAACAAAAGTCTAAAGAGAAGCCTATTTTGAAAGATTTGTCATCTATGGAGCCTTCTTACAGTTTATTTTAAAATAACACTTGCTAACTACTTTCCTATAGAGCAGGTACTCAAAGAGTAATTTTAATTAGAGAATAACAAAAATATTATGCAACCAAGTCTTTGGTTAAGTATAGTTATAACTGTCACACAAGAGGTCATGGTTGAATTCCAGTTTGGGGATATTAGAGCAGTAGAGTAGAATTGGTTATGACCAGAAATAAAGTTAAATCAAACTGCCAAAGATAAGGAAAACAACTTTAAAAAAATATTATGCAAGTAAAATATTTGTTGAGAACCTGTAATTAATAGGTATATTTCTATGAAGTACAGTTTTACATCACAATTTTGTCTGACAGTGTGAGAAGTATTGTTTGATGATCAAAACTATTTTTTAAGCACCTATGACATTCAGAAGATTAGGTAAAAGGGTACATATTAAAAAGTATAATGTTGTATTTTAGAATCAATTAAAATGATTGTTATTAACTGTATTTCTTTTATTAATTCTTCAAGTCTAAAAATCATTTCTAAAATACTAAACTCACTTTTAAATGTAACATTTTTCATTCTTGTTTAAATCAATTCTATCAAAACAATCTTTAATAAGTTACATATAAATTATTAATCAGTTACATGCATGCTGTTTCTATTAGGACTTTTAGTTCTCTACAGCCTTAAACAAAAAGGCTCTCTTAGTTGGAAATACTTTTTACTCAGTTATCAAGATGGCAAAAGAAATTAAGTATTTCAAATTAACATGTTTCAATAGCAATTTTTTCTCCAATTAGAATTAAACAAAATTTAAAAGTAATTTTTTTTTTAAAGACAAATCATCCAATCCAGCATTTATCAACATTGTTTAAGCATTAAGTTGTTTTTAGGAATTACACCATAAGAACTGAAATTAAATTTTTTCAAAAAAAAAAAAAAAAAAATCAATAAACTAAACTTTTAAATTGTTTACATTGTAGTTTTATACCCACTCTTACCAATCTTAATTTCTTCAAGTAAAAGATCAATCATTATCTATTCTCCTTATCCTCATAATCTTCATTTCCTACCATCTCCTCTTGCATTCATATCACACACACACACACACCTTATTCAGTAGTCCTCTACCTTGAGTGAGTCTCTATCCTTGTATTGGATGAACTTCAGTATAAAAAAAATAAATTAGAAAAAAGAAAGACGTGAAATACCATCATTAGCAGAAAACACCCCTAACTTTTCCAAGCTTTTTTGTCAAATAATTGATTTTAAAAGTTCAGTTGATGGATTGATTTTTTTTTTTTATAGCTTATCAACCTGTTGCAGGCTATTTAAAGACAGAAATGCATTTTAGATTGTAAGAATTTTCTCAGGATAATCATTTACTGATACAAGTCCTACTAATTAACTTATAGCTGAGGGGAGAAGAGGGTGGATTCATACTTTTCCCAAGGATATTTGTGTTAGTTAATATAACGAACCCAACTGGCTCTCTAATTACAAATTCCCAGCCATTATCCATTACTACACCCACACATCCAATCTTACAGCACCTGGTATTCCCAAATGGTCACCCATCTAAGTAATTACCAAGCTTGATGTTGCTTAACTTCGGTGATCGTACAAGGACCAGTGTTTCAAAAAAGTTGAGATTACACCTCTAGTAATCCGAATTGGTGAAAAGATATAAGAACAATATTTCCTCTGCAGTCATAAATAAGTAAATGAAACTATTCTTCATTTAACTGCAATGAAATAATTGAATTAGTGATTAAAGAATGTGGTTGTAATTAGCTATTTTTGTAATCATGCATTGTTGACATACAGAGTCAACCTATCAAAAGTAAAAATGATAATAATAATATACAATTACTAAGAAAACTATGACAAAAGATATAAAATGGAGTATTGTGTCAAAATTGCAAAGATGTAAATTTTTTTCTGTTCGTTCTGTCAAGTCCATAGGCTTCAAAATATATGACTGGAGTGAAGGGGTGCATGACAGTCTGATAAGTACTAAAGCTTTGACTTCAAAGATAGGAATTATTGTGAGAAATTAATATAAACAACTGGTTACCTGTGATTCAGGTTCGGTGAAAAGCAGAAAAATCATGGGTTGAAAAGTTTCTTGTCATAGATTTACTCAGCCAGGGATAAATAAATTTTAATCTTTACCAAAAGAAAGAAAAAAAAAAAAAAAAACTCTTTCTGGAATTATCAACTTTGTATGTCATTAAATGTAATTAACTTAAAGAAAATGTATCTCTGACAACTCCCACCTACACACACACAAAATGTAATTCAGGTGCTACATCATCAAACAATATTCTATGAAACCCATGCGCTCTATTTCAGATTACAACTTACTACGTCCATCCACTAAGACTAACTCGATAATAAGGGAAAATTGTCTATTAAACTCATGATTCAGTAGCTCATAACTTTTCATGACACAAGTAATTTCCTGATGTAAATACCATTTGAAACTTTTACACTCATAAGCCATGACCTCTTTAAATAAAACCAGCCAACTACTGTGACTCACATTTCTGAAGTTCTGTAATTGATCAAAAACAATCAACATTCTACATCCATCTTTTACCTCCTTAATATCCACTTGTAGGAATTTTGTCAAGTCAATTAAACTGTTAAGCACCAGGCACTTGTCCCCATGGTGCAGTTTCATGTACCATATATCTCTGCTATAGATAAATTTGCAGCAGCAAATGTGGGTAAAGTTTTCACTTGGGTCTGGCATCATAAAACTACCAATGTGTACATGCACAAGCTGAAAACTATATTCCTAATATCCATCTTTCTCTCTATAGATTTTCTCTACCTTTTCAAGCTGCATACCTTCACTTTTAGTGTCCCACAGAGCACCTTACTTTTCTCATTGAACTTCTCTCTGCCACAAAGAATCCCACCTATAGATATGCCATTAACTTCATCTTCTACCTATCAAATACCTACAATTCCCAGACCAGCACTTCAAGATCTATAACCACTATCCTCTTTTCACTATTATTACTTCAACACAAGCTAAACTTCATTGTATGTAACGGGTCTCACTTAATCTGATCTTTTAACTACAAAGAAAATATAAATTAAGTTTCAGGTCACAGTTCATTTATCATATTCCTACAAAAGTGTGATCCCTAATTTTATAGTTTTACTGATATGCTAATTAGTATTAATTCTTTTGGAGTTCAAGAAAAGCACAAACTGAATCAAGAAAATATGACTTTCAAATCAGATTTTAAATTTTCTGAATAAGAAAAACAAAGATATTAATATCCAACCCATCATAACTTTTGATGAGAAAGTAAGTTTGAAAAATGATCAAAAGGCCAAAATTTAATGAATTTTATTTATAGACTGGATTAAATCAACTCTGGTTCATCAAGTGAAAAACAAACTTACCAACAATTGTTTTAAGATTGTTAGCCATCATAGTGCTCTTTGATATGTGTTAGGTATATACATGTCTCAGTAATAAGAAATAGAGATGGCATATGTAAACAGGAACATGAAGCAATGGTAATAGCGGCAATCATCTAATAAAGATTTGATTTAAATTATTTTAATTATTATTCTTTAATTAACGAGAACAATCCAATGAGGCAGAACTTAACTAAACAAGAATAGGCAATCATGTGGAGTAAAATCAAACTGGAGAAGATATACTTTAAAATTCTGAAAAGATTTTTCTTCATCTTGTGTTGCATATCTTTTTCAGCTTTTAAAAACTCTTAATGTTTCCCATGAGAATTTTGTTTTCATAATGTTAAACTATTAACCATGTTTACTCTTCTCATAACTTGTGTTGAAGAATTCCAAGTCTAAACAGAAAATTATCAAATTACTTTTTCATAATCAACATACTCTACAGAATAGCCTCCCTTTAGCTACTTTATTGAACAAATCAATCCAATTTGTTTTTTTTTTGTTTTTTTTTTTCTTAATTTTAATTTTAGAAAGGCACCTTGTGTGATTCTTTGATAATCTGAAATTAACTTCTACTGCACCTATTTCCTCATATGCATCTAAGCTTTTTAAATAATGTTTGGCTGTTGGGTGATGTGTATTGTATTTCAATCATTATGTAAATGCCAACTTAATCAGGCACACATATTTTATGCTCTATTGAACATCATTAAAAGAATCTAAGCACACCTTAGAACTCCATAAAAAGCATAAGAAAAAAAGATTGTGAATGACATAAGACAGACAAATCTACTAACAACTGATTTGAATATTAAAAATTAAATATTTAAATGTAAGAAATTGGGCATATCTATACATACGGATGAAAAAAAAAAATTAAAAAATGCATTTTCTTAAATGTACATTTTTTTTTTGTTATAATGAATAAAAAAATTATTTTTTGTTTTTCAAAAGATTTATTCACTAAAAATAGATTTTGCAATAATTAACCTATTTCTATTGTATGTGTGTATATATATATATATATATATATATATATATATATATATATAAAAAATCTCAAATTCCTTTTCACTTTTTTATTTAGTGAGAACACTGAAGAAAAGAGATTGTTATCAGTAGCTTTGGTAGCTGGGTATTATTTACTGTCATATCTGATAAAGCGATAAAATCCTTTAATTAGATACCAAATTTGCATTTTCTTTTGCATTAATATTTTAAATTATTTTATTTTTCAATTGCTGATCTAATGTCATGGTTGGTGGAGAACACTTTCCAAAATCTTAAAATGAATTAGTGAACAAAAACAGAAAAGCATTTAATAACTTTGTTTTTTTTCTAACTTATAAAAATGAAGCTAATTTATTTCCTCAGTTTCCACTCAATGGAAATAAACACCAATTTTATAGTCCTAATAAAAAGAACAGTAAATAAACTATTTCCAAAATAGGTCTGCTTGTATAACTACTAACACAGGTCTGATTGTGGACTAATATACACACGCTCACACACTAAGTGCCTTTCACCAAAACTAAATTAGTAATTAAACAAATGCTCTTCCTTTTACTTTCATGAAAAAAAAGAAAAAAAAAAAAGTGTCCTGACTAAATTTTTTGTTTTCTTAGTACAAAAAAATGCAAACATACTGACCCATTCAATTCTCACTCAAAAAATTGAAGAGATAGCCATCATAGAATAAGGGCATAAGAAAAGGACTAGAAAACAATTTAAAGCAAAAAAGCTGCTATATAATAAAAATTAGGGATCTCAATTTCCATATTCACCCACATGTAGGTAAATAAGGATAGGGAATAGAAAAAAAAAGAAAAAGAAAAGAATTTTGAGCTTTGAAAGATTTTAAATAAACAGAGTATTGGGCAGTAATATGTGTATTTTAAACTTAACTCATACCACAATCCTTATCCATTTTTGTTCAGCTTAAGTTTTATTTGTCAATAGAAGACAACACAATGTTTATCTGTAAAAATTCACAATCCCAAATGAATCACTGCTACAAACTAAATTAAGGAAGACATAAGGAGAGGTTTGTCACCTAGCAGTAATCAGGTAGGATTGTTTTGTCCCTTCTTCTGATACTTCAGTAAATAATGAAACAAGGATGAGATCTGCTTATTATGTTTTTTTGCTCTATTTTATTTCTCTTGCTTTTTATCACAATTGTTAAAATGATGTATTCTATGAAAATTAAGTAAGCAGTGTGTATCAGAAATAAATAACCCTTTGGTGAAGGTTTATCCATTTTTTTTCTGATCCATTCTTAAAAGGCTACAAAAAGATGAAAGAAATAAAAAAATAACTAAAAGAATAATGTGGCAATGCTTCAGCAAAGTAATTAGATTTGATTTAGTTTGCAATTTCAGTAATGGAATTCACAATCCTTTTTCTAAATCTTTATAGAATGTTAGGTCATTTTACTTATTCATACATATTTATATTTCCACACAATGCCCTTGGAAAAGGTATGAATCTATCTTCCTCCAGCTATGAACTCAATAGCAAGGCAGATTATGTGGTCTAGGCCTTGGGTTGCAACCATCCTTAGAGAGAGAAAACTGAATTTGAACCTCTGTAAATAATAGGACAGACTGGGTTCATTAGCTTTGGTAGGACAGCCTGAGTATAAGAGGACTAAGATTTGTCAAGCTATCTATTTTAGACCCACTCTTTGCTGTAGTAGATATGGTGTCCCAGTGACCCTGTTGAGTTATGCCATTCATGATAGAGATATATTTTCAGCTTGAATTTCAATGCAGAGATATATAAGTAACTAGAGTTTTAAATATCCAAATGAAAAATTACACAATAACTTAATGCTTCAATAAGACAAACTTGTTGAAAAATAAAGATCAGTTTCTTAATTTTCAAAATTACACACTAATATAGGATGATATGATTTACAGATTAGATATATATGCCCATAGTATATATTATCACATTTAGCTCATGAATGTTTTGTCATCATCCCAAACATGAGACTATTTTTCAAGCTTCTGTCTGAAAGCTGACATTACAATTTCATGAAATGGCTATTACTGCTGACCAATAATGCTAGTCACAATTTGTAATTCACATTAACACATATTCAAATGATGAAACATATGTTTAACACCATCCAAGATTATTAGCAAAAAAAAAAAAAAAAAAATTTTTTTTTTTACCAATATGAGGCAAACC